CAAATAACATCCCAATTGCAGAGAAACCGTGTTGAAGTTGGTCTCTGAGCTGCTTCTTCCCTTATTTTGTTATTTTCCAGCAAATTTATTTCCTCTTTACAAAAACTTTCCCAAGAAAATCCGTATAAATTATTCGACTCTTCAAGCAGTTTTTTCTCCAACAACATCCAACGATTTTCCGGTTTTCGGATTTTTCAGAAACTACTTTAAAGTCTTTTTGGTTATGGCGTCAAGTCAGTGGACAAGGTCGGAAGATAAGATGTTTGAGCAAGCTTTGGTTCTTTTCCCTGAAGGATCTCCAAATCGGTGGGAGAGAATCGCCGATCAGCTTCAGAAATCTGCTTGTGAAGTTAGGGAACATTACGAAGCTTTGGTTCATGATGTTCTTGAGATTGATTCCGGTCGAGTTGATGTACCGGATTACATAGATGAACCGACCGCCGGTTGGGACTCGGCCGGTCAGATCTCGTTTGGTTCTAAACACGGCGAGAGCGAACGGAAGCGTGGAACTCCTTGGACCGAAAACGAACACAAGTATGTAATCAAATTAGGGTTTAGGCTGGTTAGGGGATTTAGGAATTAACCCAATTGTGTTGAAATATGCTAAATTAAGGTGATTAATTTACATTTTGGATGATGAATGTTTTTGGTGCAGATTGTTTTTGATTGGATTGAAGAGATATGGTAAAGGAGATTGGAGGAGTATATCGAGGAACGTTGTTGTGACAAGGACACCGACACAAGTCGCGAGTCATGCGCAGAAGTATTTTCTTAGACAGAACTCGGTGAAGAAGGAGAGGAAAAGGTCGAGTATACATGATATAACTACGGTGGATGCTAATTTAGCCATGCCTGGTTCGAACATGGAGTGGACTGGGCAGAACGAGACTAGCCCTGTTCAGGCACAGCAGCAGATTATGCCGGAGTTCGGTCAGCAACTGACTAATCCGGGACATTTCGAGGATTTCGGTTTTCGGATGTGAAGAAATGGGGAACAAACTGTAATGGTTTTAGTTTGTTAGGGTTTTTTTTTACACATTTTATGTGAATAGGAAAGAAAGCAGGATTGGGTAATTTCTGATACAAAATGATGATGATGATGAAAGAATAAAATAGTGTATACGAAATGCTCTTTTTTTTTTTTTGTAAACACAAATATGTTTTGTACCATTTTGGTTATTTTGAATCAATGCATATGGTTGTTTTTTCAATTGGTGCAGTTATTAAAGTATTGTTCAAAACTTGATTTATTAAAACAACACACAAACACACATCAAACAGGTGAATCTTTCTGTACAAGTACAGAATCTCAAACCAAGAGAGAACAAAGGTCAAAGACATTATTTTTCATTATTGCTTGCCTTATGACCAGGATACTGCATACCGTGGGGGTGAGTGAACTCAGGGCTTGCTTCCCTCAGGTTTCTGCAAGCAAACAATCGATGAACGGATTACTTTGTTTGATATGTTCATTTGTATTGAAAGTGAAGCCAAATTCGGGTACTAGAAATGCCCTAATCGAAAAGTCGGATCCGACTACAAGACATGCAGTAAAAATGAAACGATGAATGAAAAAATGGAGTGGAGTGTTTATGGTATGATGAGTGTTTACCTTCCCTGCACTTCCTTTCTCACTCTCTGCTTTTTGTTGCTCAAGTTTCTTCTTTCTCTCCTGTATCTCCTTCTCCATTTTCTTCAACAAAAAGATCAGATTCGTAAAGTGAGTTTTAATTTAGAAGATACATAGCTTCCTTAACTAGACTGCATCCCATAATTCATGAGTCATGACCAATTCCACAGAGGCTGAGTAATGCAAGTCAGAAGCATCAAGCTCTATATGTAAGTCTATAACTACAAACTCATACCTCAAATCACAAAGGAACACAACAAGCTATATAGATTGCATAGCAACAACACATAGTTCTTACAAGCAAAAAGCTGAATCACACAAACAACATTTGTTTCCCTTTTTTCTCTCTTGAAAAAACAAAAAAAAACTCAATCCACCATTTGATTTTGAAAACAAGACTGTACAATTCTATATAAAAAAAACTGGATCCAAGTCTATTTCATAACCTTACAAATCAGAGCTAGAGCCATTTTCCCTAATGAAATTATTGAATATATTTCGATCGAAACTGAGATCAGATTTCCTTTTTAACTTCTCTCTAAACGTTGACTCCAATAAACAGCATCGCATAAACAAAATCTAATAGCATCCATACAGAAATCAATAGGAAAGGAATCACAAACAAAGTCGAAGAACGAAGAAGAAACCTGGATGTACATGGTCTCTTTCGCGCGTTCCTCTTCGCTGAGAATTCGACCTGTATCGTCGCTGAAGCACCGAATCGCCGATCTTCGTGTCGATGCAACGATCTGATTCTCCCACAAGGATCGACCCAAACCTAGCCGTGAAATCGCAGAACGAGCACTCGCCATTTTGCTAATCACTGAGATCTCTCGTTTTGTGTTAAGACTTAGTCGAGAAGTATAGAAGTCGTCTTCCAGAGTGAACAACAAAGTTCAGGTACGGGTTTCCGGTTCGGATCCGGGTTCGGATTTTGGATCCCCAGAGAAACCGCTAGAATATTGTAACTGCAGATGGACTTTATTAATAGAGAATATTAAGGCCCATTGGGCTAGGACCCAGTTTTGAACAAGCTTGTCCACACTCGTTCTTAAAAGGGTTAAACGAATAATATTTTTTTCGCCAATAATTGCTATACAACAACATTGCAAAGGAAAATAATTTGCTTAAATTGCCTTTACTTTTAAAATTTCTTTTG